TTTTTTGAGATGAAGTCTTGCTCTGTTGCCTAGGCAGAGCAATCTCGGCTCACTGCAACCTCTACCTCCCAGGTTCAAGCAATTCTCCTGCCTCAGCCTCGCCAGTAGCTGGGATTGCAGGCCCCTGCCACTCCACTGGGCTATTTTTTTGGTATTTTTAGTAGAGACGGGGTTTCACCGTCTTGGCCAGGCTGGTCTCGATCTCCTGACCTCGTGATCCACCCACCTCAGCCTCCCAGAGTGCTGGGATTATAGGCGTGAGTCACCAAGCCCGGCCAGGGCATGTTCTTCTGTCCACACTGCAGACTGACCACACCTGGAGAATACATGCGCTGTCCTCCTAACAGACTTCGTTCCCCAGAGGGAGTGGGGGTGGGGTGGGGTGAAAGAAGAGTTTCTGACGCTTCCCTGAGGACTTACAAGATAATTTCTTTTAGAATCAGACCCACACACAGCCAGTCCTCACTTAAATCTAAGTGATCACTCTCTCAAGATATTTTTTGCCCATCAAGCATCTCCTGGATGTTTGGATTTGTTGTCTTTACCAATTCATTTTCAGTTAAAGGTATAATGAATTTGTCATCCTGTAGGGTGATTGGGTAAAGGGAAATGAAGGTAAGGCAAAGGAGGTCAGGGCAATGATGTGCTTTGAAAACCGAAGTCGATCGGCCGGGCATGGTGGCTTATGCCTGTAATCCAAGCACTTTGGAGGCCAAGGCAGGCGGATCACCTGAGATCGGGAGTTCAAGACCAGACTGACCAACATGGTGAAATCCCGTCTTTAAAAAAAAAAAAAGAAAGAAAAATGCAGTCGATTTATATACATGCTTAGACCGGAGGGTACCATTCTCCAAAGATAAATGAATGACAGGAAAGCCTCAGCAGCAAGGATGCTGGATTGAGGCACAGAATATAAAGTGGTAGAGCAACAGGGGTTCTGTGGCCGAAGGATTTGATCACATATCACTGTTAGGGGAGCCAGAAACCATCGGGCAGGTTCAGCCAAAAGTCAGTTTTCCATCCTGAGGACCTGCCCCCGGGTCAGGGCTTCTCTGTCCATTACAGCAAATGGAACTAGAGTCATCCTCTGCTGGACCCCGCCCCACTGACTCACTCTTGCTCAGAGTGGAGCAGCGATACCTCTCACCACTGGGAAAGCAGCCCACTCCTGTGGATGGGAAATTTGTTCTCCAGTTTGGCTGGGTGTACATGTGTAGATCAGGGCAGAAATCCAGAAAAGAGGAGGAGAAATTAGTTAACAGATGGGAAGATAGGAAAACTTGCAGTTCTAGGTTAATTTTTAAACATTGTACTGGAGCCGGGCGCGGTGGCTCACACCTGTGATCCCGACACTGTGGGAGGCCGAGGCGGGTGTATCACCTGAGGTGAGGAGTTCGAGACCAGCCTGCCCAACATGGAGAAACTTCATCTCTACTAAAAATACAAAATTAGCTGGTTGTGGTAGCACATGCCTGTAATCCCAGCTACTCTGGAGGCTGAGGCAGGTGAATCGCTTGAACCCCAGGAGGTGGAGGTTGCAGTGAGCTGAGATCATGCCATTGCACTCCAGCCTGGGCAACAAGAGCAAAACTCCATCTCAAAAAAAAAAAAGGAAAGAAAGAAAGAAAATTGTATTGGCTGCTCTCAGTGTGGGCAAGAGGCTGGGGGTCAGGGCAGGGGGGTGTGCGTGGGTGGGTGCTAGGGCAGGAGGTGGGGACAGCTTTGGACGCTGAAGTGTGTGTGAACAGGCCCCACAACGGCTTTATTTAACAACTTTGTGTTTGTTGTTGTGTTGTGTTTTCTCTTTCAGTTTCAAAGAAGCTGGCACCAATTCCACCCAAGGTCCCCTTTGGCCAGCCAGGGGCTGTGGCAGACCAGTCTGCTGGCCAGCCGTCCCCAGTCAGCCTGTCCCCCACCCCGCCGAGCACCCCATCGCCCTATGGACTGAGCTATCCTCAGGGGTACTCCTTGGCCTCGGGCCAGCTCTCTCCAGCTGCTGCTCCTCCCCTGGCCTCTCCTTCTGTCTTTACAAGCACTTTGACCAAATCTCGGCCCACTCCTAAGCCCCGACAGAGACCTACTCTGCCTCCTCCTCAGCCTCCCACGGTAAACCTCTCGGCCTCTAGTCCACAGTCCACGGAGCCCCCCATGCTAGATGGCATGCCCCCTGGGGAAAGCATGTCTACAGGTAAGCAAGCCACAGGCTCCTTCACCTTTACTTTATGAACCTTAGTGAAATGTGCCTAGGGGAGGGGTGTTAATGTCACTGCCAGGGAACAAATTCCTGTGTGCTTTCAGGTGACTGGGCTAGCACCAGGGGTAGCTCATAAGATCTCCTCAGAAGCCCACCAGTGCTGGCCGGGCGCGGTGGCTCACGCCTGTAGTCCCAGCACTTTGAGAGGCCAAGGTGGATCACCTGAGGTCCTGAGTTTGAGACCAGCCTGACCAGCCTGGAGAAACCCAATCTTTACTAAAAATACAAAAAATTAGCCAGGCATGGTGGCACATGCCTGTAATCCCAGCTACTTGGGAGGCTGAGGGTGGAGAATCCTTGAACCTGGGAGGCGGAGGTTGCGGTGAGCCAAGATGGTGCCATTGGGCAACAACTCCAGCCTGGGCAACAAGAGGAAAGCCTCATCTAAAAAAAAAAGCCCACTGATGGAAAGCAACCCTGGAATCCAGGTGTCCCACACAGGGGCTTCTTACGGGATCTGTCTTGGTCTAAGCCTCCCAGCCTGGGGTTCTGTTTTTGCTGTTAATGGTGGGGTTGAAGATACTGAGTCATTTGGAGTGGGGCCTCAGGAGAGGCTGGAAGCTGGTTATGATCACTAAACAGCATCAAAACTCAGGTATTCCCTAGATAGAGCCCAAGCAACTGACAGGTATAAATGCTCACCTGGAGGACGAGCTTAAGAACCAAAGATGTTTTTCTCTCTTAGTAAAATAAGCCTTCTTAGAAAAATATACTTCTAGGTAGATTGTTAGAGAGGGGTGAATCTCAGAAAAGAAGCATGTCTCCTCCGACCCCCCCCCCCCACCAGACTCCGCTCCCTGGCCAATTCCTTGAAGAACTGATTGGACAAGCCCACGACTTAATTTAGTTTTGATTTAAAATTAGAAACAAAGATGGAGCTCTCTTCTCCCAGAAAAAAAAAGTGTAAGCACGAAATCACAAACACACACCACATTCAGCCAAAACCATTCACTGGCTAGAAGAAACATCCCCCGCACACTTTAACCACATGAGATTATAAAGTCAGGGGCATATTTGCGGTGGCTGCTAAAGTCATTTGGGCATTTTCCTTGTTCAGCGAGACAGGCACAGGGTTGAGCCGTGTCTTGGGCTCGAGCCAACCCACTTTACTGCGTGGCGGTGAGCTGGAGCATATGTGTGTTTAGTGTTGTCCCGAGTAGCAGAAGGTGAGGCAGCATGGGTTGGAACACACACACATACCACACATCACACGCCCCACACACACCCACTCAGCCATTTCAAAGAACAATGCTGTCCTAGGGTGCCTGCTGGGACTTTTCATGGATAATGCGCTTTCCCCTCCACATTCTTCTCCAAAAGAGTGATTTATTTCTTCCTTGATTAGATGGAAGCAGTGACCCCATGGGGTTCAGCTCCGTACTGCCTTAGAAAAGGCTAGTTCAATTTGCAAGTGTTTGTGCTAGGTCAGATTTAAACATTACGGGGAAGAGCCATCTGGTGATTCAGCTTCTTTATTTTTGGATGTGATTAATGTTGAATATACAGCTGCTGTCATCTACCCTGAGGCTTATTAAAAATTAGGCAAATTTCTCCTTGGAAAATGACAGTGAGCACCACTCCTATCTTGGTGGGTCTTGGTGGCCAGGCGTTATCTCCTGAAGGAACACATGATGATGGGAGGGGACAGGTTTGCATCCCCCGCCCCCCCGCCCCCGGAAGGTCACACCTGCAGAGGAGCTGAAGGTCACTGAAGCCAGTTCTCCAGGGCTGTTCCTCCCAATGTGTCACACCTGCTGCCGACTCTTCCAGCTACCCCAGGGAAGGGACACAGGTGGTGTCAATACATAAGCAATAGAATGAGCAGAAGATGGGCCGGACAGTGGCTCACACCTGTAATCCCAGCACTTTGGGAGGCTGAGGCGGGTGGATCACGAGGTCAGGAGATTGAGACCAGCCTGGCTAACACAGTGAAACCCCGTGTCCACTAAAAATAAAAATAAATAAATAAATAAATAAAAGCCGGGTGTGGTGGCAGGTACCTGTGGTCCCAGCTACTTGGGAGGCTGAGGCAGGAGAACTGTTTGAACCTGGGAGGTGGCAGTTGCAGTGAGCCAAGATCGCGCCACTGCACTCCAGCCTGGGCAACAAAGTGAGACTGCA